CGGCTGCGGAAGGCCGAGGCCGAGCTGTAGGCCCAGGCTATGTCAGGTTATGCGGTGTTATGAGGCGCTGCTTTTGTTGCGCGGCGACGGGCGATCGCCTGCGCGGCCGTTGCGCAGGCGTTGCGCTGCTGAATGCGCCGATGCGTCGCGCGGTTGCTGGTGCGACCGCTGTCGGGGGGGGGGAGAAAGGGGCGCGCCGCCAGTGCGCCGGCGGTGGCTCTGGTGGTGCCATTACTTTGTCAGTGCAGTGTCTTCAGGTGATCCGATGGCTCCCCCGCGGTGCTCCGATGGCGCTCCCACGGTGCCCCCGTGATGCTCTGGCGGTTCCCCCGCGGTGCTCCGAGGGGGCCAAGAATGCGCCCGCATGGTGCCGCTCGCGCAGCCTCGCCCCGCCCGCGTGCCCGACGCGAGCGCGAAACTGAAACCGATTACCCGGTGGGGGCCCCCGCCACGCTGAGATCGATATATAGAGATATGGATGGGGGGATGCATGTGCCAAGGGTGCGGAGCTACACTGTAAATGCCGCGCTTTCCCGTGGCTTTGCTGTGCTCCTGCTCGCAGCGCACGCCGCCGGAGGCGGCGGAAAGCTGGAGAAATCCATACAGAAAAAGTGCATCGACGGCTGTTTCGGCTCCTCCGGTCCACGCCGTCACCGCGTCGCCGCTTACTCCGGGGCCATGGGCGCCGTCCAACGAGGCCCCGTCTGCAAGGGCAAGAGTATGCCAGCCGACGTGCTCTCGAAGAGCGCAGGAGCGCTGAAGAAGAACAGGAACAGCGCGGCTTCCAAGTTCGCGAAGTGGCATGTTTGAGTCGGGCCAGTCTTTCTACGGGAGGAAAAATAGTAAAAGAACAAGTCGGGGGCGATTTTTTGATTATTTGGATCATTTTGGGGCATGTTTTGATTATTTTTATGTTTCGTCCACGGCCCGCTTGTAGGGGGACATGCCCGACCTAATGGTATTTGAGGATTGTGGATCGGGAGATCGCAGAGAACTCTTTCCCAGCGAGGGGCGAAAATAACGAAGCGAACAAGTTCCAATGCGTGCTTGTGTCCAGAGAACCCCGGCAGCACATGCTCGGACCCCTTCCTATCTCAGGCACCGCGGTGCTGCAACCACTGCAGGGCAGAAGTTCCAAGCCGATGCGATTTGGGAGCTCGCGACGCCCGATTTTAACTCCAAGTCCAAGCCGGAGTTCATCGGGTGCCCGCTCAAATCCGACGTTTTGCTGTCCAAACCAGCAATGGTCACGAGGGTGCTGCCCAAAAGTCCCGATGCGCTGGCGCACCTTGCCAGTGGTTCGCACGTCGTTTAAAACATTAACTGCGTCGTTGGGGTTCTGAAGGGGCTAGGCTCTGTCAGCTGGAAGACGTTTTCCAGGGAGTGTTTCGGCATGGGCGCCACGAGGCAGGTAAACGAGGGGGTTGCGCTCTCCAGCGTGGCTGATGCACAGTTCAGGGATGTTTGAAGGGAGGAAGATCGTGGTTGGTGCGTGGTAGAGTATCCGCTTATTCGAGCGGGGTGCCAACAGCGGCTGGCATCGCCGTGCTCGGGGCCTCCGCTGCGTTGGGAGACGGCGAGGTGAAGATCGTCATGTCGCCAGGGGCGAGCGTCTCGTCTGCGCCGCCGGGGAACGGGTTCAATGTCTGACAGGCCTGGGCACCGACGGTGTGTTCACCGAAGTGCTTTCCGCGACTTTCACGCTGGGTCAACGCTTGGCGGATCTCCTGGATGCTGCGGCGCAACCAGCGTGCGCCGCGGTTTTGGTCGATGCCGCGGCGAAGTCCGATCTTATCAGCTTCCAGCCTAATCGCTGCATCTTGGACGCGCCGTTGCTGGAGGACGCCATGAATTCGCAGGACAGCTGTATCTTCTCCAGAAAATGCCGCCTTCGGGATGGCAGTGGGGCGGTGGACGTCGATGTGGTGAGCAACGCAGCCCCAGCCCTCCATTGTTGTACCAACGCAGAGGAGATACTGACGCACCTTTTCACCCAGTCTCTGACAGTTGTTCAGGCGCGGTTCAACGCACGCGGCATTCTTCAGGCCAAGGGTGTGACCGCCAAACGTTGTATTGTGCAGCTGGGCACCGCGCCTCTGGACGCGGTGGCTTCCATCGCGGCTACGAGTTTGCGCCGTGGCCTCTCAGTGGTGACCAGCGAAGTCGCGCTGCGGGTGCCATTGGGTCGCATTCTCAAGGACCCGCTGGTGGACTTGGCGGTTCGCCGCGATGACGACGCGACCATCGGCGCACGCAGACTGTTACTGCTGGTGCGCGGCACGGATGTGACCAACATGGGCCCCATCAGCGACCAGGCGCAGTTAGCAGAGCAGGTCTTCGATGTCTCGTCGACGGCAGTCTGCGCCCTCAGCGACTCACCGGCGCAGGTGAGCCTGGTGGGTTGCTGCGATTTCAGAAGTATGCTCATGTACCGCATCGACAAAGAAGCTGCGCTTTTCCTCGCGTCCGATGTCCCGGCCCCACGCCAGGGTCAGGCTCTGCCAGCGCCGCTGCAGCGCCGGGAACATGTGCCCGACTGCCACGATTGGGTACTTTGCCAAATTCTCCAAGGTTGAAGTAGCAGCGCTGACGCGCAGTCCCGCGGCGGAGTGGAAGGCAGTCCTGACGACGGACGTAACCCGAGACCCCGCTTCTGAAGTCGGCAGGCGACACATTTGGCGACTATAGGTCGGAGGGGCCCCTTCGAAAAGTCATGCGCCTGGCCTCGGAACCTCTTTCGCCGCGAGCGCCCAGGGGTGGTACGTCGGTCTTTTCGGCAGCAGCAAATGGCCGGAACAGGTGAGTGGTAACACCGGGCTCTGCCAGCGAATTCCTGGCCCCAGCACCCGGACTCAATGAGCATTACTCTCGCTCGCGTCTCCCCCAAATATCTGTGAGCGGCCTGGCCGCGATGCGGCTCCTATACGGTCGGCTAATTTTGGTTCAGAGCAAGAAGCGTTGACCAATCGATTCCGATACCGTGGAAGCGGTCATCAACACCCGAACCATAATAACTATTATCGCCAGCGGCATCACAATCAGCATCATCACGGCCATGATCACAAACATTCCTATTATCATGAATGTTCGAACCTCTGGCGCGCCACAGGGTGGCATTTTGGTCGTGTAATCGATTGACACAAAGACTGCTATGTAGATCGTGGGGTCGACCGTGAGTCCGATTGTGATGTTGATAGACCCGAGGCTGGGGGGGTGGGGGTGATATCGATACATGGTGAGATCGGTCGTGAGATCGATAGTGATGCTTGGTGCTGTCCTCTGGTGTCTTGTGGTGTTCGGTGGTTGTGTATGTTCTTCGTATGTTCTTTCAAAAGGGAAGAGCGGGCGGGCAAACAAATGCCACTTCGACCCGCTGGTTGCCCCGATCATTCGGTGTTTCGTAGTGAGTTCGAATGCAAGGTCGAGAGTGAGATCGAGAGTGGGGTCGGTGTGGTATCGATAGTGTGATCGGTCGATAGTCGGTGCATAGATACAGGCCGACATCGATGACGATGGTGATATCCAATGTGATATCGGTCGTAATATCGATAACGATATCGATTGACAGTGAGATTGCAGACTGAAGGATATCGATCGTGGGATCGATTGTGAGATCGAACCATCGCGGGATCGATTAGAAGATTGATCGTGGTGTCCCGTGGTGTCTCGCGGTGTCCCGTCGTCTTGCATGTTGTCGTCGGAGGTGAGGGAGTGAGATCGAAGTGGAACGGAGAGCCCCCCTACCGGGGAATCGGTTTCGGTTTCGTGTTCGTGCGCGCCGTGCGTGCGAGGCGAAGCTGCGTGGGCGGGCGAGAAGAAAGTCTCCCCAGGCTGAGGCGCGGCCAGACCAAATGATTCATTTCCGGTGGCCGGTGGCCCGCGGTGTCCTGCCAGTGTCCCGTTTCTTGCTGAGGCGCGGCCGGACGGTGATGATGATGATGGTGTCCCGATGATGATGTTGATGATGATGATGACGATGATGGTGTCCCGATGGTGATGATGATGGTGATGATGATGAAGTTGATGATGACGATGATGATGGTGATGAGGTGATGATGATGATGATGGTGTCCCGATGATGATGATGATGATGATGATGATGATGATGATGATGATGAGGATGAGGATGAGGATGATGATGATGATGATGATGATGATGTTGATGACGTTGATGACGATGATGTTGTTGCGGATGATGATGATGACGTTGATTGTGAGATTGATTGTGATATCGATAGTGAGATCGATCGTGAGACCGAATGTGAGATCGATTGTGGCATCGATCGTGAGATCGATAGTGAGATCGATTGTGAGGTCGAAAGTCAGATCGATTGCGAGATCGATCGAATGAAATGGATCGAGTGAGATCGATCGAGTGAGATCGATCGTGAGATCGATAGTGAGATCGATAGTGAAACCGATCGAGTGAGACGTTGGTTCCTCTCCCCCCGAACCTCCTTACCACCCGAAGGGTGGTCGTATAGGTATGTTCTGTTGTAAGAATGAAGCGCGCGTGCAAATCAATGTCACCCGGTTCGGATGGTTGCCCCAGTGATGTTTGATCGATGTCCCGATACCTACATGAACATAATTTCAAACATGTTGCTCTATACGTTCGTAGTATGTCCTAAGAAAGAGGGGCGTGCAAACGCATATTATCTAATTCCGCTGGTTGCCCCGATGGCTTTCAGTCGATGCCCCGACAATTAGCTTGATGGACAAGCCGATTGCCCTGTATGTTCGTAGTACGCTCTAAAAGAAAGAGGGTGCAGGTCAACAAGTGCCACCTGTTTCCGCGGGTTGCCCAAATGATTCCCGACGGTTATCAAGGACGCCATCGGGACACCATGGTTGTGCTCCGTGGTGCCCAATTGGTTTCCGCCGAGTCTGATCCGACCCAATCGCACACCGAAAGCTGAGCTTCCCACCACATCCTCCTCTCTTCCCAACCCAAGGGTGGCCGTATAGATCTGTTTACGCAGTTTTTTCTTCCTTTGAAGGTGCTGCTGCCCCTCACCGACCTGAAGGCACTCATGCCCGGTGGCCTGACCCTGATGACCTTCCTGCTGCGAGGGTATCACTCCGAGCACGGCGGCAAGGACGCGGAGATCCGCGCCTGCGTGCGCATGCTGCTCGAGGGCAGGTGTGACCCGGACGCGGCAGACAGCCCGCCCAAGCCAACGCCAGCAACGAAGCCGTTGCATGCGGCGGCCGCCCTTCGGAGCGAAGGGCTCGTCTCGGACCTTCTGCTGGCTCGCGCGGACCCCTGTGGCATCAATAACGGCGATCAGCAGAGGACTCCACTTCACTTTGCCGTGGCCTCTGCGCCGACAGGCTCGGACGCGAACTTTGACATCGAGGACATGCTGATCCAGGCCAAAGCAGACCCGGCGAGGCAAGATTCGCTCGGGCTCTCGGTGCTGCACTTCGCACTGGCCAAGGCGGAGGACGGCTCTCTGACGCAATTCCAAGGCGAATGGTTGGAGGAGCTCCAGGATCCAAGCGAACAGATGCCACGCAGGAAGTCGTGGACGAAGCAAGCATGGCCTCTGATTTGCAAGCGTGTCGACCCGATCGAGACGATATCGAGCTTGTGCGTCTTGCCAGGAGTCAACGTCAACGCTAAAGATAAGAGGGGCATGGCACCTCTGCACCTTGCTGTGCTGCGGGGCGCATCAATCTGCGCCTTGAAGCTGATCAGTGCTGGGCTCAGTGTTCGAGGACTCATGCGTTTCGCGAATCTCGTTTTTGCGAGCGAGAGTGGGCTTGCGAATGCCTCTGGTGATTGTACTCGAGTTTGTCAGCATCCGCCAGGTTGTAGTCTCAGTCTCTTGCTCGAGGGGTGGCTAAATAGGCCTCTTTTGGCCCTGGTGCGTTTCTGGCCGTCTTTGGCAGATTGGGGCCATCTGGGCAGGCCTTCGGGCCGTGTGTGTGGGAGCTCTTGGGAGCTCTTGGGGGCCCTCTCGGTAGTTGGTCCTAAGGCCGTCTTGGGGTGGCCTCGGACCGGTCTGGAGCCGTTGGAGGTTGACCTGGGGTGGTGCGTGGGGCCGTGTTCAGAGCGGCCTAGGGCCTGTCTTCTGGACGTCTTGGGGCTACTTGGGGCCCGCCTCTTGGAGGCTTCCTTGGATTTTTCAGGTGTGTCTCGCGGAGTTCTTCGGGGTTGTTGTGGCTTCTATGTGTGTTCAAAATCGTCCATGGGAGATTTTGCGGCTGTCCCCTAGGGGACTCTTGGGTCCTCTCTAGGGGTTGTCGTGGCCATCACGAGGCCGTCTCCCGCGATCCTTTGGCCATCGTGGCTCGGCGAAGGGACCAGGCCCCGAGCCCGACGAAATTTCTAGAAACACAGCCGAGCAGAGCAGGAGCACTGAAGCTACAGTCAACCCGCATAGTAAGGATGAGCAACTTTCCAAGGGTACCCTTGCTCGGAAACTGGAACATATACATTACCAGTGGCGTGCTGTTTTTCAATCCCTGGACTTTTTGAGGGTCAGGGACGACGTCGGGGTGGTGTGGTGTATAGTTGTTTCCTTGTTTTCTTAAGGGAAGTTGCGAAAGAGTATACAATCAGTATCCCGTATACACCAGGATCTGCTTTCCTGTGCGAGTTTCAGTGCAGGGCCAGAAAACATGTCGGTGTGTAGAGTTCGGTTCCCTACTTGCATCCTTCCCCTTCGGCCCATCCTTGGCCACTTTCGCCGGCCGCGCCCCGCTGGTAAAGTGTCGGCATGGCCTTCCAAGGCCCTTGCATCCTGATCGTGCATCGTTCTCGTGAGTGATGCTGGATTTGCAGTCCTTCAGCCCTGATTCTGGGAGTCCGGCGCGCGTGCGCCGGTCTGGTGAAGCGTGCAGAGCAGTGACCACCTGGGTGCCGTCTCTGCCCCTGCAGTCCTAGCGGAGCTCCCGCGTACGGATGATGATGACACTGATGATGCTGCTGCTAATGATGATGATGATGATGATGATGATGATGATGATGATGATGATGATGATGATGATGATGATGATGATGATGATGATGATGATGATGATGATGATGATGAGGAGGAGGAGGAGGAGGAGGAGGAGGAGGAGGAGGAGGAGGAGGAGGAGGAGGAGGAGGAGGAGGAAGGAGGAGGCGGAGGAGGAGGCGCGAGGAGGAGGAGAGGAGGAGGAGGAGGAGGAGGAGGAGGCGCGAGGAGGAGGAGGCGCGAGGCGCGAGCGCGAGGAGGCGCGAGGAGGAGGAGGAGGAGGAAGGAGGAGGAGGAGGAGGAGGCGGAAGAGAGGGGAGGAGGGAGGAGGAGGAGGAGGGGGAGGAGGAGGAGGAGGAGGAGGCGCGAGGAGGCGCGAGGAGGCGTCAGAGGCGCGAGGAGGCGGAGGAGGCGCGAGGAGGAGGAGGAGGAGGAGGAGGAGGAGGAGGAGGAGGAGGAGGAGGAGGAGGAGGAGGAGGAGGAGGCGCGAGGAGGCGGAGGAGGAGGAGGAGGAGCGCGAGGAGGAGGAGGAGGAGGAGGAGGAGGAGGAGGAGGAGGAGGAGAGGAGGAGGAGGCGCGAGGAGAGGAGGAGGAAGGAGGAGGAGGAGGAGGAGGAGGAGGAGGAGGAGAGGGGAGGAGGAGGCGCGAGGAGGCGGAGGAGGAGGAGGAGGAGGAGGAGAAGGAGGAGGCGCGAGGAGGCGGAGGAGGAGTAGGAGGCGCGAGGAGGAGGAGGAGGAGGAGGAAGAGGCGCGAGGAGGCGCGATGAGGAGGAGGCGGCGGAGGAGGACCACGTCCTCGTTGCGTCTGGGCGCCCGCAGGGCCCGGCTCGGGGGCTCTGGCCGTCGACAGCTCTCCCGGGCCCGGGGCGCCGCCGCTGCGCCCCGTGGCCGCGGGCGGGCCTCCCGCTCGAGGCGTCCCCGCGGCCCGGGCGCCAAAGATCTAGGCCTCCCAGATAGGGTAACGCCATTTACCCCTTGGCCAAGCCCCGCTCGTTACCCGTCCCCAGGAGCGAAACAATAACCGTTGCGAGAGGTGATCGGCGGTTCGAAACTGGAGTCCTGAGGGATGGGGCCCTCAGGATAGGAAGGGCTCCGGGGGTGGAATCTAGACCTCCCAGATGGGGTCGGAGTAGATGGGGTCGGAGGATCGCGCCGCATCGCCGATACATCGCCAATGCGGCTCGATGTGGAGCCCGATTTGCGTCACGTCGACGTCGCCGATGCATCGTGCCCGTCGGCGATGCATCGTTTGTGCATCGGCGATGCATCGCCGATGCATCACCGATGTATCGGCGATGCGGAGCGATCCCCCGATCCCATCTACTCCGACCCCATCCAGTGGCCTCTAAAAGATCCAGGGGAGGAGCATCGAAGAAAAAAACGGCGTACTCAGTGGAGGCCCATGTCAAGAACCACCCTTGCGCTGCGAAAAAAAAAAATCGCGACGGGATGCTTTTTTCACTATTTTCGGCCTCAGGGGGCCCCTCGCAGGGCCTCGGGACCGTCAAAAAACGACTCAGGACGAAGAACCGGTCCCTTGAAAGGGGTCCAGAGTTCTGGGGGTCGACGTTGTGAAAAAAATCAAGACGTCGGGGGTCTGGGAACTCATGCCAAGAAGCACCCTGCTTGCCTCCAGGGTGCCCTGGGTTTCCTGGGTTTCCTTGATTTTGCGACGGAGAGCGTGACGCTCCCACACCAGGAGTCGATGGACGTTCTGGGGTCTCAGGGTTGGGTTTCTTGTGGAAGGTTTCTCGTGGTCGGACTGCAAGCACAACCGGAGGGTCCAGCGCCGATCCCAGGAATCTGGGTGGCCCTTCGAAAAGTTGTTTTTTGTGCAGTTTGTTGTTTGGTGGTATCCGGGTGGCCCGATGTCCGGCGCGGCCAGGAGTCAGGAGGGAAAGAAACACACAGACACAATTAATTGTCGATTCCCCAGAAAAGATTGGAAAATATGGGAAGTGGGGGGGAAGACGAAAACCCCCAATACATGGAACATATGGGGAATATGTTTATTAGTGTGTATATTTGTGTGTCCCAGGGTCCCTTCAAAGAGGCCAGAACATCGGGACCATCTCGAAGCATCTTGGGTCATCTCGGGGAGCATGCACGCACGGAGCCTAACAGTGCACGGGGAATGGACCGCCGAGCGCTGGCAAGGCTCCGTCTCCTCCCCCTTCATCCCCCTCGTGAGGGGCGGTCGCCTGCTTACTCTTGGGCTTAAGTCGGGCCTGTCCCTTTACATGGGGAATATTCAGAAATAGTCAAACAATAGTTTTGGGATGTTTTGTTAACCATTTTTCAATATTTTAGAGTTTCTTTTTTTTCTCCAAAATCGGCCTGTAGGGGGACAGGCCCGACTTAATCTTGGGCCTGGGCCCTTTACCCAAGCGGGGGGGGGGGGCGGAGATCATGTTTGACCCTTTGGCGCGGAATGGTCGTCACCCGGGCCGAATGCCTTCTCCGCCTCCCCGGATATCGGTAACGATCGTTCGTAGGGGGGGGGGCCTCGATCGCAACGCACCCCCTCCCCGACGTGCGTATCCCGCCCAATAGTTGCCGTTGCCCGGGCCCCCCACCCTCCCCACTCCTGGGTAACGACCTCTACAGGACAGAATGCGTAAAGGACTCACGCGCTTGTCGTCCGCCCCGCGCGACTCCGTAGGCCTTCGCCTCGATCGCAGACACTAGGGTGCCGCGATGGCGGCGGATTTCCACCTGGCCCTCTACAACACCTCCCGAGCCTGACGCAGTAGGGGGGTACAACACAATTAGTCGGCGATTCCCAGGAAAATTTGGGAAAATATGGGAAGTGGGGGGGAAGACAAAAACCCAGAAAATATGAGAAAATATGGGGGAATCTTTTTATTAGTGTGTATTTATTTGTGTGTTTGTGGGCCCCCTCAGTAGTGTGATCAAAAGAGGAAGGCATGCGGAGGAGATCGGAAGTGAGAGCGAGGCGTCGACGCCGTCGGTTTCTGGGCTTCCGGGGTCGGCCGGACGGAGCTCCGGCTCGTGGCATCCTCGCTGTCCCAGTGCTGGGCGGAGGTGCCCGCCCACCGGCCTGGGGCATTCTCTTCTTGCTCTCTTCTCTTCCGCCCCTCTTCGCCGCCCCTGCCCTGGCTTGCCCACGGGTTTTCTCGTTCGTAGTGCCTCGGCGATCTGCAGTGATGTCGGCCGCATCTGGCGCGGCTCTCCTGCTTCGGCAGGAGGCGCTGTACAGGTGATGTGTGCCGTTTTGTCCTTTCCCCCTCCCTCCCCGCGCTCTCTTCCTCCTTTCTTTTCTTCCAGCCTTTTCCCACTCTAGTTGGGAACCTGTGCGAGTCCCGCCGTCATCGCCAGCAAAAGTCACGCGCATGCGAATTTTCTTCGACAGTCGGTGGCGCAGTATTGCTGCAATGTGGTCGACGCATGTTTGAGATTCGGCTCTGTGATGTGCACCTTTCGGTCGGCGCTTCGGCCTGGGCGTTATTCAGGAGGGGAAAAAAACACAGAGACACAATGAATCGTCGATTCCTCAGAAAATATGAGAAAATATGGGAAGCGTGGGGGAAGACAGAAACCCAGAAAATATGGGAAAATATGGGGGATATGTTTATTTGTGTGCATTGATTTGTGTGTCCTGGGGCCCCTTCAGTTATAGCGCTGCACAGTGCAGCACCGGCCAGCGCCCCTCTCGATTGTGGTTGTGGATTTGCTCCGCATTTTTTCGGTTGGCTCGTGATGCGAACGGCACGCGCGCGGTTTCAACGGCGGCAGCCGTTGAGGAGGAGGAGGAGGAGGAGGAGGAGGAGGAGGAGGAGGAGGAGGAGGAGGAGGAGCGGTTTCAACGCGGTTTCAATGTGGAGGAAAAGTCCTGGGCGGAGCTGCCGACCGAAATGACCTCTCGTGAGCCTGGTCTGTGGAGGAAAAAAATCCTGGGCAGGAGGAAACATGTCAATGTGAAGGAAAAATGGGAGGAACATGTAAATGCAAATGTGGAGGAAAAGTCCTGGGCAGACCTCCTGCTCGGAGCAGCAAGCGGGAAGAGGCCTGAGGAAGGCTGGATGCCAGCAGAGATGCCTCCTGCTCGGCAAGCGCGTGCTCTCGGGTCGTGATTGCAGATCTTTGTGAGAGCCTCGCGACGCTTCCGGATCGCGTCATGCGGGCCCCGCCCCAATGTTGCTCTGATAATGCCGTATGGGGGCCAGAAAGGCCCCAAGAGCTCTGGATACAAGCCAAGATTTAGATCCGGATCTCCTCGAGGCTTCCTTGGTCTTTCCTGGGGTTTCTTGAGGCAACCGTGGTGGCCATGCGATCTGAGGCAGATTGCGATTTCGAATCCTGGTAACCAAGGTGCTGGGGCGATCCTCGAGGAGCTCTTCGAGAGCAATTCCCCGTTGGGCCTCGCTATGCACCGATACCCCGACTTAGCGGTGCTGCTGATGCAGAAGGGCGCCAGTACGGTCCCGAAGGTCGTTCTCTTCGGATCGGCGGAGGTCAACTCTGAGCTTCACACGGGCGAGCAAGAGACGATCTTTTCCTTGGCCATCCGCCAGGCAGCAGTGTGCAGCCAGAGTGTGAGGGCGAGCTACTTGGGCGCGGCCATCAGTTCGATGGATAGCGGCTTCCCTCGCGAGCAGGCCCTCACCGACACGATCGCATCGCAGCAATTTGTCATGCTGCTGACGTTGATCCCGAAGGTTGGCGTTGAGATTCTGCGGGATATGCGTTCCACGGACAATCAAAGTTTGTTGCACAAGGTGGCTGCGTGCAAAGACGTGAAGCGCCGCAGTGGGTCTGCAATGCAGCAGCAGGAGCTGCTACGCAAGATTTTGAGCGATGGGGCCTCGATGCAGGAGGTGCAGGATCCCTTCCTCCGAGCTGCTTCGAAGCTACTGGAACGAGGTGCGATCCTATTTTGCCTTCTGGTATCTTTCTTTTCTGCCATCTACCTCCATAGTTATGTTCTGGCCCGATCCCCGAGGGTGCTGCTTTGGGTTCGAGAAGGACGCAATGTCGGGACGGTGCGTCTCTTGCCTTAGGTTCCCTTTGTTACAGCATCGTCCCTATCATTGCTACCAGTTGCTGATTTCTTTTTTTGCTCCCACCAGCTGGGGCGGGCTATTGGTTTCCCACTGAGAGGGGAACGTCCACACTCATGACCAGTCGGGGCGAGTGGTGGCCAAGCGTGATCGACCCACGAACCCTGAAAGGAATACAGAAATGTGAGGCATGGCGACGTTTTCAAGACACCAGATTGGGCGACGGGCAATTGCAATGTTGAGTGTACCGGTTTTGATGTACCGTGCCAAGGGCTGTGCTGTACTGCGCCGTGCTGGATGGCGATGTGCCATGCCGCGATTGTACCCTTTGCATCCGAGCCCTGACCGAACTGATCTGGATCTTAAGCTCGAGCTGCCTGAGCACATAGTAGCTGCCGCAGATCCGGTTGAAGTGGAAATGTGCTAGAAGTTAAATCAATTCAACCTCAACATCCGTGTCAGCTCCGAAAAGGAACGCCACGACACGGAGCACAGGGTCACGGACACGCCACAGGATGTGCCAGGGGCGCAATAGGGGATGCGCCAGGAAGCGTGTGAGGGAACGTGTCAGGGGACGTGCCCTGGACGTGTCAGTGATCTGCCACGGGACGTGCCGAGGCGCGTGTCATGGGGCGGCCAGAGGACGTCATGCCGAGGGGCGTTGCGAGGGGCGCGTCAAGGAACGGGCAGGGGAAACGCTTGGGGACGAGCCAGGAAACGCGACAGAGGACGAGCCAGGGAACGTGCCACGCCGAGTGGCGTGACGCGCCAGGGCACGTCACGCCAGAACGTCGCACGAGACGCGCCAGGGGACGCGCCAGCGCGCCAGGGGACGCCCCACGGACGGGCGGGGTTGGACTGCGATGCATGCTACAGCGGCAAGCGTTTTGCTCGAGACATCCTCAAAACATCTTCATGTTAAGCATCCGCCGTGGCGACCTGGACACGTGAAAACAAGCGTATCGCTCGAGACTTCCTCAACACATCCTAATTCATGTTAGACATCCGCCTGGGCGACTTGGACATGTGAAACCAACCGCCTCGTTCGAGACGTTCTCAACACCATCTCATGCTAGACATCTGCCTGGGCAGCCTGGACGCGTGAAAGCAAGCGTTTCGCTCGACCCATCCTCAGCACATCTTCATGTCAGACATCCGCATGGGCGACCTGGGCGCGTGAAAGCAAGCGTTTCGCTCGAGACATTCTTAACACATCCTCATGCTAGACATCCGCCTGGGCGACCTGGGCACGTGAAACCAAGCGTCTCTCTTTCTCGAGACATCCTCAACAAATCCTCATGCCAGACGTCTGCCTGGACGACCTGGACGCGTGAAAACAAGGGTCTCGCTCGATGAATCAACAACACATTCTGATGCTAGACGTCTGCTTGGGCAACCTGGAGGCGTGAAGCCAAGCGTCTCGCTCGAGACATCCTCAAGACCTGGGCACGTAAAAACAATCATGTCACCTGAGACATTCTCTGAGTTCCGAACCCCAGGAGAGGAACGATCTATAGGACAAAGCAAACGTTTCGCTCGAGACATCCTCAACCAATTATGCAAAACAAGCGTTTCGCTCGCGACATCCGCAACAAACGAAAATGCTTACTTTACCTTCTGCTTTACCGATCGGAATTTCAAAATCCAGCGTTCCGCTCGGGACATCCTTCAATTTTACCCGCCGGCCCTCTTCGACCATTTTGCTTATCAAGGAAAGAATCCGCCAGCCCTCTTCGAACTTGGCACCGGAGTACAGGTTCACCTACTCAAAGAGGACCCTGGGCCTCTGCCCTTTCCGGGGAACACCTACTTACAGTGGGGACCCATGCCAAGAAACACCTTGCTTGCCTCCAGGGAGCCCTGGGTCTCTTGGGATTCGACGGGTTTGCTATGGAGAGCGTGACGTTCCCACACCAAAAATCGATGGACGTCTTGGGGTCTCAGGGTTGGGTTTCTTGCGGAAGGTTTCTGGTGGACTGGCCTCCACCGTATTTAATTTACATGGCACCGCCAATCGTCCGCCCAGGGACAGCGGGGCCCGCTGCCAGCAGAGCTAACGTGGAGGCCAGGCACTTGGCTCTCATCGGGGCCGCAGGGCTCGTTTCGATTCCTCCGATTCGATGCGATTTTGATTGCTTCCGATTCCAATTCGATTCGACTTGGGATTCCGACTTGGGTTCCAATTTATTGTTGAAGGCATACTCGCCTGCCGATGTCTGCCGATTCGACCTTTCCCGACTCGGCTGCCGATTTCCGCCATCCGATTCATTTCGATCGCCAATCCGACTTATCGATTCTGGGCTCTCTCGGGGCCGGCTCAGGCAGCCAGATCCCCAGCAGTGGGAGACGGATGATCGATTCGGTGCAAGCGATTGGAGTGCACGTCGGAGAGGAGCACACACGCACGCGCACGCTTCCTCCAGATGTCGAAACAGTTTGGTTCCTCCTCTCCATCCTCATCTTGTTCACGCGCAGGAGGGGTTCCGGTGCACCGCTTCTTTTGCGTTCGGGCCAGTACTGGCAAAGTGAGCGAATCTTGAGGCGATTTCGTCGTGGAAATATTGCGTTTCGCAGGATGTTTGTGTGCCAGTCGAAGACGAGCAGTTGGCGTCCCTTCTGTCAGCGGCATCCATCCCCCTGGCTTCGCCCCCGCTCGTGGCCCTCACAACCCGTGGCAGAAATAACATGCCCTTCTGTAAATGGGGGGATGCAGACGACAGAGGACACTTTGAACGCAGATTGCGATGTTCGTTCTGGCACCTCCCCAGAGTTGCCCTGGTGGTGTCCCCTAAACGCTGGGGGAATACTCAGTCGACTAGCGTAGCTGCACTTTCGCCCGGTATTTTACCACGCAGGCAACTTCGGGACGGTCGAGATGGCCCAAACATGCCTCCAAGACGGCCCTAGATGGCCCCGATACGGCCAAAGATAGCCGATAGGCGGCCAAATATTTTACTTTGAGTATTGTTCGAGCCTATCTCTGTACGAGGTCGACTCAAGTTCGACTCAATGCACGAGTGGAGCGAGTTGCTCCAGGAAGGCCCCCCGAACGAGCATCTAATGGATGTGCTCAGAGGGTAACGCAATGGAGGGACCATGCAGTGTAAGGTGCATACACATGTGTGCCAGCGTGGACCCCAGACTGTGTACCATGTGTGGAAGCTATCGAAGACGCCTACGGCGAATCACCGCCGCCCTCTGCCTTTCTGGACACGCCTATGTGGCCGTGGGTTGGGCTAGATCTTGGCGAAGCTGTCGGACCATGAGTTCCCCGAGTCGGCTCGGAAAGCATTCGGGGAACACGTGGGGAAGGACGGGGAATGGGAGGAGAGGGATGAACAAGGAGAAGGGAGGAGGAGGCCTCTCGGGAGCCTCTTGGGCTTTTCTAGGGTTGTATTGGGTCATCTTGGCGGTCTTGGAGGCATATTGGGATTGCCTTGGAGGTCATTTTGATGCTATCTTGGGCTCTCTTGGGGCCTCTTAGGGCCTTCCTGGCCCGTCTGATGCCGTCGGAAGCCGTCTTGGGGGCCTCGCTGGGCCGCCTTGGGGCCTTTTTGGGGCGCTTCGGGGCCTTTGGAGACCATCTTGGGCGTCTTAGATGCCTCTTGGGCCGTCTTGGGGCCCTCCTGGAGCCGTCTTGGGGGCCTCTTTTGGGCCGTCATGGGGTCATCTTGGAGGCCTCTAGGGCGATCTTTGGACGACCTTGGGGGCCTCTTGGACCGTCTCGGGCCGTCGGAAGGCCGAAAAGGCGCAAATCCCAACATTTTTCAAACACCCAAGGGAAATCAATGATTTTGGTCTCTTCAGGCCTTTCTGGAGGACCTTTTGGAGCTCTCCCCTGGCCGTCTTGGAGGCCTCCTGGAGGCCTCTTGGAAGCCTCTTAGGCCGTCTTGGGCCATCCTGAGGCTATCTTAAGCCGTCTTGGGTGCATCTTGGGCAGTCTTGGGGGCGTCTTGAGGCCATCTTAGCTGTCTTGGGGACCATCTTGGCCGTCTTGGAGGCATCTTGGAGGCCATCTTGGGCCATCTTGAGCGAAGAAACCGATGAGGCAAGCAGCTGGCGGGACGGGCCGAATCCCTAGGGGGAGTTCTTTGGGAAAAAACCAAAACCAGAACGTACGAAATCCAGCACGCCAGGCACCTCTGTGATGAATCAGCAGGGGGCGGCGGATCGAAGATGCCTACAACGAATCACAGCCGCTCATGCCTTCTAGAATCGCCCAGGTGGCCGAGCGTTGTGGCAAGAGCTCTTCCAAGCTATCGGACCATGTGTTCCCCCAGCCGTTGTGGAAACCCTTCGGGGAACACGTGGGGGAGGATAGCGAGGAAGATCAGGAGGAGGCGGATGAGGAGGTGGCGGAGGAGGAGGAGGTGGAGGAGAAGGAAGAGGATGAGGAGAAGGAGGAGGAAGAGGGGGCATCTTGGGAGCCTCTGGGGACACTCTTGGAGCCTCCTGGGAGCTTCCTGGGAGCCTCTTGGAGGCATCTTGGGGGCCCTCTTGGAGGCCTCTTGGGGGCCTTCGGGGTCTTCTCGGGGGCCTCTTTGGCCATCTTGGTGGGCTCCTAGCCCGTTTGACGCCGTCGGGAACCGTCTCGGGGGCCACTCTGGGCCGACTTGGGGCTCTCTTGGGGTGCTCCAGGGCTGTCTTGTAGGCCATCTTGGGCGCCTTGAAGACCTCTTGGGCCCTCTTGGGCCCGTCTTGGAGGCCTCTTGGGCTGCTCTGGGGCCATCCTGGAGGCCTCTTGGGCGATCTTTGGGGGCTCTTGGGCCGTCTCGGGCCGTCGGAAGGCCGAAAAGAAGCAACTGCCCAAATCTTTCAAACATTTAACGACAATCAATGATTTTGGCTTCTTCGGGCTTTCCTGGGGGCTCTCTTGGAGGCCTCTTGGGCCGTCTTGGGCCATCTTAGGGCCGTCTCCGGCCGTCTTGGTGGGCTCCTGGCTCGTCTGACACCGTCGGAAGCCTTCTCGGGGGCCTCTCTGGGCCGACTTAGGGCCTTCTTGGGGTGCTCCAGGGCAGGCTTGGAGGCTTCCTTGGGCGTCTTAGAGTCCTCTTGGGCCGTCTTTGGGCCCTCTTGGGGCCGTCTTGGGGGCTTCTTGGGCAGTCCTGAGGTTATCTTGGAGGCCTCTTGGGCGCTCTTGGGGCGATCTTGGGGGCCTCTTGGGCCGTCTTGGGCCGTCGGAGATCTGAAAAGAAGAACATGCCAAACTCTTTCAAAAACCCAAGGACGATCACTGATTTTGGCCCTTTCGGGCCTTCTAGGGGACGTCTTGGCTGGCTCTTGGGCCGTCTTGGGGGCCTCTTGCGGGCCTGTTGGGCAGTCGTCGACCATATTGAGGCCATCTTGGGCCGTCTTGGGCGCATCTTGCGGCCATCTTAGCCGTCTTGGAGGCCATCTTGGCTGCCTTGGGGGCATCTTGGAGGCCATCTTGGGCCATCTTGGGGCAACAAAGGCATCGACAGATGGATGTTGAGAAACTTTCGGCAACATGTCGGGTGGCCGGCGGGACGGGCCGAAGCCCCAGGGGGAGAGTTCTTTTGGAAAAGGAACCAAAACCACCGAAAGGATCTAGCACGCCAGACACCCCTGTGATGAATCAACAGGGGGCGGCGGATCGAATGGCCTTCGGCCCATCCCGCCACCGTGCCTGGGTTGTGGGTATGAAGCCAATTGGATGTTCGTTGGGATCTCGTGAGAGGCCTCTCGGAGGCCTCTTGGAGGCAGTTTGGGGCCTCTTGGGGGCCGTTTTGGGGGCCTCTTGGGGCTGCTTTTGGGCCTCTTAGGGTCCTCGTGGGGGCCTCTTGGGGGCCTCTTACGGGTCTCTCGGGGGCCTCCTGGGCTCCTCGGCCTCCTGGGGGCCTCTTTGGGCGGAAAGCTAGAATTTTCGGTTCGTGCTCCCTCTCTTGGGCCCTTTTGGGGCCGTCTTGTGGCCGTCTTGGGGGCCTCTTGGGCGCCTCTCGGGCCGTCTTGGGGCGCCCCTAGGCCGTCTTGGGGCCCTCTTGGGGGCCTCTTGGACCGTCTTGGGGTGGTCTTCGGGGCCTCTTGGGCCGTTTCGGAGCGTGGCAAAGCAGAAAGAGGCGAGAACGGCAACATCTTGCAAACACCTCAGGGAAATCAGTGATTGTGGCCTCTTTTGGTCCTCTTGAAAGTGCTCTTGGAGGCCTCTTGGGCCGTCTTGGAGGCCTCTTGGGCCATCTTCGGGCCGCCTTGGGCATCTTGCGCCGATCGTTCGGCGACTCGGGGCCCTCTGGGACCGTCTTCGGGGCCTCTTGGAGCTTTCTTGGCCCGTCTTGTGGCCCTCCTGGCTCTGAAGAAGTCAAGCGAGAAGCCGCGAGAAGCCCCATGGGGGCACGCGACAAGCCAAAGAAGGGTTAGCAATTCTGGGTTCCAGGCCCTGCGAAGACTGCTTCGGCATGCTAAAGGGATTCGGGAAAGGACCCGAGGACACGCCCACTCCGTGCCCAGCGGCATGGTGGCGGATATGGGGCAGTCCACGTTGTGCAGCTACGCGATGCTAGCACGCTATGCGTGCTGCAAGCACTGTGGTGCAAGCTGTGCGTTTTGCAGACTGTATGGTGTAGACAATGCTGTGCAAGCAACCTGGTGCAAGCTTCGTGTGCTGCCAGCTCTGTGGCGTAAGCCATGTGCTGACGCTGTGCTGTGCCAGCCGTGCGACTGCGGTCGAAGCTATGCGGCGGAAGCAGAGCAGTGCGAGCTACGTGGCGCAAGCCGTGCAGCGCGAGCAGCACGAGGCGCCCACGAGGCGCCCACTGCCGCACACACCCGGCGAGACGTCGGCACACCCGCGCAGCGCACGGGGCGCCCACGCGGCGCCCACGGCCGCCCACGCTGCGAAGCCTCGGCAGACGCAGCCCGCCCGCGAGGAGCGCCCGCGAGGCGCCCACACGGCCGCCCGCCAGGCGGGGCGTCGGCAGCCCACGAGGAGCGCACGAGGTGCCCACGGCCGCCCGCCGGGCTCGGCGGCCCCGGGCCGGGGCCGGGGCCGGCGACGAGGCGCCCTCGGCCGCCCACCGCGCGAGGCCTCGGGCGCGCCGGCCAGCGCACGGGGGCGCCCGCGAGGCGCCCACGGCCGGCCACCGCAGCATCCGCGGCCCCGGGCGGCTGCTGACGCAGAGCAGCAGCAGCCCCGAAGCGCAAGCACTGGATTGGGGAGCAGGCAGCGGGGCGAGCGCACAGCAAGCAGCTGCAGCCGGAGTGCTCGCACGAAGCAGCCACGGGAAAGAGGCAGTTCCTTGCTGGCAAGGTGTGCTTCTCACCGCCGACAGCAATGGCCGCACCCCGCTGCACCTCGCTGCGGGAAACCTCCACGTGGACCTCGTGGCTCTGATGCTTGAGTGCGGCTCCGCCAGTGCCGAGCTCGTGCAGGCGGTGGATGCGGATGGAAGGACTGCGCTTGGATGTGGCCTCGGATGTGGCCTCGCCGGTCCCGTTTCGGGGCCGGCACTCCGGATCGCCAGCGAGCTCATCGCTCGGGGCGCATCGGCCCGCCGGGCGATCGTAGACGTGGAGTTGCGCTGCCCCGCGCTGAGCTGGTGCATACTGGAGGAGGCGCCGCCAGTGGTTCCTCCGCCGGGCAAGAGCTGGGTGCAGGTCCTTTTCTCAGGCGAGGCCCCGGACCTCACCCTTCTTGACAAGGTCGGGCGTTTCGAAACACGGGGGCGGTGGACGTGGGGGGATCGAGGTGTGAAGAAAATGGGCCCCGATCGAAGGTGCACGCAAGGTGCACATTATTGCCCCCTCCGTTTATTGCCTCACCCTCGATTAAGCATCGCCCGACAAGGACGGAGACTCTTGCCTCACGATGGCGGCCTCTGCGCCAAGCTACTCGGTCTCATACCTTCGGCTCATAATGCGCTGGGCAGAGGCAGCAGGCGGTGATGCCAAGCGCGGGTTATTATTGGGCCGAGGTCGTGATGGGATGACAGCGCTGCATCTTGCTGTCTGCAAGGGTAACATGGGCTTTGTGAGCGCCTTACTGGAGCAGGCGGAGCAGGTTTCGCGCCATGTCCTCCGCGAGATGCTGAAGGCGAAGGACAGCGTCGGGAGAACAGCCCTCGTCGACGCGGTGCAGTGCTCCGAAGCATCGCTGTGGATGGTCTGCCTGCTGCTTCGGTGGATGGACGACGAGACAGCGGCTGCAGTCTTGCCCATGGCGGACAACGAGGGTCACACAGCACTCATGTACGCCGTGATGAAGAACGACACCAAGCTTGTTCGCGCTCTCCTTGCCGGCAGGCCCTCGAAGCCAGAGGACTTGCAGGTGAAATGCCCGCCTGGCCTGATGGCCGGGAGCCCGTACATGGCAGCCCTCGAGTGCGGCGGGCCGCCCGGCGCGGTAAAGTACAGCAGCTGCAGCTGGCTCGACGACGGCGGCAGGATGGCGGCCGCTCCTCTCCTCACCAGGGATGCCGACGGCTGGCACAGTGTGGACGCCTTCGCAGATCCGCTCGCACCAGCAGTGCGGGGCGCCCTGCCAAACTCCACCGAGGTGACGTGCCTGGAGGCAGGCACGGCGAGGCTGCTGGTCCAGTGCCACCTGGGGCAGGTGTGGGTGCGGAGGCAGGACGTCTACAGGAAGGGCGCCCCGCCTCCCGCACTGCAGAAGCACTCCACGCTGCAGTACTCCTTCAAGGCGACGATCCCGGCGGGCGTCGGCCCCGGCGTCAGTTTCACCATCACTTCGGGGGACTCTCCTGGCAGTCCTGGCAACCCGGGCCTCGCGGGCAGCTTTGCGGGCGAGGGAGCGTCCAGGATGCCGGCCTCGGCGCTCGGCGTCCAGAGCTCGGGGGGCTTCTCGGCGCTGCATCTCTGCATCCAGCCGCTGGCCTTCGGATCCTACGAGAACGCCGAGATCCTCGCGGCGCTGGTGCAGAGCGGAGCGTCGGCCGACCTGAAGGACGCGAGCGGCAGGACGGCCGTGGACCTCGCATGCAGCCAGCAGAGCGGGCGCATGCTGAGGTGCCTCCAGGAGCTCGGGGTGCCGAGCGCGGCGGGCCGCACCGTCTGCGGCGGCAGCGGCGGCGGCCTCGGCGCGTGGCCGGAGGCGGTCGACGTGGCGGCCGACTCGGCCAGAGCCCTGGCGGACGCCGCGGAGGCGGCCGAGCGACGGGCGGGGGGCCCGCCAGAGCCGCCGGTGGAGCGCTTCTTCCAGAAGCCGTCCCAGGCGAGCGACGTCGTCGTGGCGCGGGGCCCGGACGGGAGCCCGCTGGACCTGGTCATGACGAAGGTCGACCTCAGCAGAGGTCAGGGGCGGCCGCCCTTCCTCCTCTCTCACGAGGGGAAGAAACACACACACACAGCCACGATTCATCGTCGATTCCCCAGAAATTATGGGAAAATATGGGAAGTGGGGGGGAAGACAACAAAAACAAGGAAATATGGGAAAATATGGAGAATCCGGTAATTTGTGTGTATTTGTTTGTGTGTCCCAAGGCCCCTTCACTCTCGTCGTCCCCCTCCAGCCCCGTATCAACTCCTCCCTGTTGCACCCCCAGACGCAGACGTGTCGGCAGGGCGGGCCTTCGCCTGGACCCTCCTCGCCAGCAATGATCTTGAAGCTTGGTATTTGGACCAGCTTCACGGATGTCAAGCAGTGGCGAAGCGTCCCGGCTCGCCTTTAGCCCCACCAAGCAATGTTCTAAGATTTTTTTGTTCCCACGAAAGGTTCTTAGAACATGTCTTGCTAGGACTGTCTTGTTTTCACACATCGGGTTTATGTTCTAAGAACATCGTTTTGGTTTTTCGAACATTTTTTGGTTCTCTGAACATTTCGTGGTATGGCTATAGGAATGCCGGGACGGTCGGTCCCTGTTCAAGGATGGGGAGCGGGTGGTTTTCAAGATGTGGCTCTCGCATTAGCGCCGCGCGCATTCGTCTCGAAAGTTTGCAGACGTTTCAAGGATGGAGGGCGGTTCCTTTTCGGAAGGTGGCTCTCGCCTCAGCGCCGTGGGCATTCGTTTTTAGAAAATTATTGCAGCAGTTTCAAGAATGGTGGGCGGCTCCTTTTCCGAAATGTGGCTTTCGCCGTCGCGCGGTGCACAGTCGTTTTGACAAGGTTGCAGCGCTTTGGGGGATTCGTAGGGCTTGCGTCCTAGGATTGGCGTTCTGGCACGATTTGGGGCTGTCAGGGCGTTGACTCGCGACGCTGACGTTCCAGCCATAGCGTCCTGGCGCGATTCAGGATGTCATGTCGGGTCAGAGTTTTTCAGACGTTTGCGTTGGTTCTCGGTGTCTCTCCGGCCTCGGAGTGCCTTTCAGCGGCTGCGCTTGCCGAGCTCTTTCCGGGGTGACCAGATCGTCCCGAACGGCCGCCGGAAGCCTGAGTGATGATCCGGACGCCATCGATCGATCGGCGATGTACCGCCGATTCAGGCTCGATGTTTCTCTCCTTGAGCTGCCCCCCTCCTAACGTTGCCCCTTGAGAGGGCCCCTGCCGCAGAACGTCTTCTACAGGATGCAGGTGCTGCACGAGCGCAACCAGAACAACTACTTCCTCTTCACGCGGTGGGGCATGATCGGGGACAGTGGCCGGCTTAGCGCCCAGGGTCCCGGCGACCTCCCCAGACATCTTCCCGTTTGTTCTGTTTCGTTTTGTTGTCCAGCTCTCTGTCACTGTCTTGCCCCCGCCTGCCGACACGAAGGGGCATCCCCGTTCTTTACCCGACGCCAGTGGCCACCTGGGCGCAGGCGCTCGGCCGATCTGCACAACGGTTGGGCGCCGAGGCCGGCCTCTGGGCCTGCGCCCTCGACGCCGCCCCGCGGCGGATCCGAGGAGAGTGCCTCCCTGGCGCCGGCGATGTCGGGGCCCGCCTCTCCCCCGCGCTCGCGCAGGAGGAGGGCAGAAGGCGAGCGTGGAGGGTTTCTCCGAAGGGCTTGGGCGACCCCTCCTCCTCCTCCTCCTCCTCCTCCTCCTCCTCCCTCCTCCTCCTCCTCCTCCATCTCCTCCTCCTCCTCTCCTCCCTCCTCCTCCTCCTCCTCCTCCTCCTCCTCCTCCTCTCTCCTCCTCCTCCTCCTCCTCCCCCCCCTCCTGCTCCTGCTGCTGCTGCTGCTGCTCCTCCTCCTCCTGCTCCTGCTCCTGCTCTTCCTCCTCCTCCTCCTCCTCCTCCTCCTCCTCCTCGGCCTCCTCGGGTCGCCTACGGCCCCGGGGGAAACCGTGCAGGCGAGCGTCGGCAACGTCGGGGCCCCACACGACCCTTCTCATGGCGCCAACATCGCAGAGCGGGCTGCGTTCGGAAAGCCATGGGACGGGCCTGGATTAGAGTGCCGTTCTGGAGCTCGAAGCGAATCTCGTTCGTTTTTTTGGTGGGCCAGGAATGAAGACTGCAAAACATCCACGTCAATGTCACTTCGTTTTTCGCTCGCCGTTTTGGGATTTTGTGTTGGCACAAATCCACGCAACAAACAATCCGCTGCAGCACGTCTGCAGGGTCGGTGCAATGACCCTTCGGGACGGGGGCCCGACCGCGGGGTCCTGTAGCGTGCCTGCGGGATAGTCTTGACACCCCGCTCTCTGGATGACTTCTCCGAAGGGCTTAGGCGACCCGTCCTCCTCCTCCTCCTCCTCAGACTCCTCCTCCTCTCAGACTCCTCCTCCTCCTCCTCCTCCTCCTCCTCCTCCTCCTCCCTCCTCCCCTCCTCCTCCTCCTCCTCCTCCTCCTCCTCCTCCTCCTCCTCCTCCGCCTCCTCCTCCTCCTCCTCCTCCTCCTCCTCCTCCTGAGCGACATCGTCGCGCAACGCGTCCTCCTCCTCCTCCTCCTCCTCCTCCTTCTCGGGTCTGCCCGCGTGTGGGCCCCCCCGTCCCTCCGCCGCGGGCGGGGAGGGGAGGGCCCGGGCGGAACGGAGGCCCCGATCCCGCGGGGGCCTGATCGAGGACGAGCAGGGCTTGGAGACCGCGCCGCCCCCTCCCCCGACCCCCCCTCCGCTGGCCCTGGTGCTCCCCTCCGCTGCCGCCCAACCTCATCCTCTCGGCTCGTGCACGCGCGACTCCTCCCCCCCCCTCTCGTGACAAAACGGTCTGCGGGGAGGAGGCTGCCCCTCCCGTGCGCTTCGTTCCCGCCCCCCCTCGCGGTGGCAAGACGAGTCGTGACGACGGAGGTGTTCGGCCAGTCTCGGCCTGGGCCCCGCTGGCCGTCAAAGCACGGCTCCGGATGAAAGACCGGTCTTGGGGGGGCGATGGGTTCAGATCCCAACCGGACGCGTGAGATCCCAACCGGACGGTTCAGATCCCAACCGTCTAAAACACCAGGCACGGTCAGATCCCAACCGAGGAGGAAGCGAAAAAAGAAAACATATTGAAAAATTGCCATACCTGTTCATTGCTATCTGAAATTGCGATGGGCACCTTACAGGAGCAGATTTACGCCTGAGTTATTGCGGTTGGGATCTTGCGCGTCTTTTGCTGAATTGTAGTAGTGGTAGAATTAGTAGTGGTAGTAGTAGCAGTAGTAGTAGTAGTAGTAGTAGTAGTAGTAGTAGTAGTAGTCGTAGTAGTAGTAGTAGTAGTAGTAGTAGTAGTAGTAGTAGTAGTAGTAGTAGTAGTAGTAGTAGTAGTAGTAGTAGTAGTAGTAGTAGTAGTAGTAGTAGTAGTAGTAAGTAGTAGTAAGTAGTAGTAAGTAGTAGCAAGTAGTAGTAAGTAGTAGTAGTAGTAGTAGTAGTAGTAGTAGTAGTAGTAGTAGTAGTAGTAGTAGTAGTAGTAGTAGTAGTAGTAGTTTGTAGTAGTAGTATAGTAGTAGTAGTAGTAGTAGTAGTAGTAGTAGTAGGAGGAGGGAGGAGGAGGAGGAGGAGTAGGAAGTAGAGTAGGTCGTTAGTTAGTTTAAGTTAGTTTCGTTATAGGAAGTAGTAGTAGTAGTAGTCGTAGACGTAGTAGTAGGTAGTAGTAGTAGTATTAGTAGCAGTAGTAGTAGTGAAATTAGTAGTGGTAGTAGTAGTAGTAGTAGTAGTAGTAGTAGTAGTAGTAGTAGTAGTAGTCTCCGTAGTAGTAGTAGTAGTAGTAGTAGTAGTCTACTACTAGTACTGATAGCAGTATAGTAGTAGTAATTAGTAGTAGGAGAGTAGTAGTCGTAGTTGTCGTAGCAGTAGTAGTAGTAGTAAGTAGTAGTAGCAGTAGTAGTAGTAGTAGTAGTAAAGTAGTAGCAGTAGTCATCGTAGTCGTAGTAGTAGTTGTAGTACTGGTAGTCGTAGTCGTAGTAGTAGTAGTAGTAGTAGTAGTAGTAGTAGTAGTAGTAGTAGTACTAGTAGTAGTAGTAGCAGGAGTATGGGTAGGAGTAGGAGTAGTGGTAGTAGTAGTAGTAGTAGTAGTAGTAGTAGTAGTAGTCGTAGTCATAGTCGTAGACGTAGTAGGAGTAGTAGCAGTATTAGTAGTAGTAGTAGTAGTCGTAGTAGTAGTACTAGTACTAGTAATAGTAGCAGTAGTAGTAGTAGTAGTAGTAGTAGTCGTAGTCGTCGTAGTAGTCGTAGCAGTACTTGGTAATAGTAATAGTACTAGCGAAAGTGACAGGAATAATAATAATAGTAGGCGTAGTAGTAGTAATCGTAGTAGTAGTAGTAGTAGTAGCAGCAGTAGTAGTTGTAGTAGTTGTAGTCGTAGTAGTGGTAGTAATAGTGATAGTAGTAATAGTCGTAATAGTAATAGTAGTAGTAGTAGTAGTAGTAGTAGTCGTAGTAGTAGTAGTAGTAGCAGTAGTAGCCGTAAGAGTAGTAGTAGTAGTAGTAGTAGTAGTAGTAGTCGTAATATTGATAAGAGTAGTAGGAGTATTAGTGGTAGTAGAAGCAGTAATAGTAGTAGTTGTAGTAGAAGTAGTAAATGTAGTAATAGTAAAAGTAGTAGTAGTAGTCGTAGAAGTAGTAGTAGTGGTAGTACTTCTGGAGGGCGTAGTAGTATTAGTAGTGGTAGTAGCAGTACAATTCGTAATATTAGTAGTAGTACTTGTGGAGGGTATAGTACTACAAGTAGTAGTGGTTGTAATAGTAGTAGTACTAGTGATACTGGGAATAGTAGATGTAGTACGACCAGCAGTCTGAGTATTCGTAGTAGTAGCAGTAGTAGTAGTAGTAGTAGTAGTAGTAGTACTAGTCGTAGTCGTAGTCGTAGTAGTAGTAGTAGTAGTAGTAGTAGTAGTAGTAGCAGTAGTACAGTGCAGCAGTAGCAGTAGCAATTATTATTATTATTAGTAGTAGTAGTATAGTACAAGTAGTAGTAGTAGTAGTAGTAAGTAGTAGTAGTAGTAGTAATCTATTAGTCGTAGTAGTAGAAAAGTAGTAGTAAGTATTCAAATTGTAGTAGTAGTAGAGTAGTAAGGTATCGTCGTGGTAGGAGTGTAATAGTAGTCGTAGTGGAAATAGTAGTACGTAGAGTAGTAGTAGGTAGTAGTACAGTAGTAGTAGCGTAGTAGTTAGTAGTAGTAGTAGTAGTAGTAGTAGTAGTAGTAGTAGTAGTAGTAGTAGTAGTAGTAGTAGTAGTAGTGTAGTCTAGTATAGTAGTAGTAGCAGTAGTAGTAGTAGTGTAGTAGTAGTAGTAGTAGTAGTAGTAGTAGTAGTAGTACAGTAGTAGTAGTAGTAGTAGTAGTAGTAGTAGTAGTACTACTACTGCTACTACTACTACTACTAGTAGTACTTGTCGTAGTACTCGTACTAGTACTACTAGTAGTAGTAGTAGTAGTAGTAGTAGTAGTAGTAGTAGTAGCAACAGCAGTAGTAGTAGTAGTAGTAGTAGTAGAAGTAGTAGTAGTAGTAGCTGTAGTAGTAGTAGCTGTAGTAGTAGTAGTGAGAATCTCTCAGAATCTCTGCAGGAATCTCTCCGAGGCCCGCAGGAAACTCTCAGGAATCTGTCAGAATGTCCCAGAATGTCTCAGAATCTTTCAGAATCTCTCAGAATCTTTCAGAATCTCTCAGAATCTTTCAGAATCTCTCAGAATCTTTCAGAATCTCAGAATCTCTCAGAATCTTTCAGAATCTTTCAGAAATTGTCAGAATCTCTCAGAATCTCTCAGAATCTTTCAGAATCTCTCATAATCTCTCAGAATCTCTCAGGATCTCTCAGGATCTCTCAGAATCTCGCAGAATCTTTCAGGATCTCCCAGGATCTCCCAGGATCTCGCAGAATCTCTCAGAGGCTCGCAGTGGCTCTCAGAACCTTGCAGAGGTTGGAGCTTTTCAGAGGCTCCAAAGTGGTTGGGATCTCACGCGTCCCACGTGTCCTTGACGGTTGGGATCTGAACCGTCCGGTTGGGATCTCACGCGTCCGGTTGGGATCTGAACCTTTCTCTCTTGGGGGGGGGGAGGTCGTGAACCTCGAGGGATCAGCGCTGTGGAGAAGTCCTGAAGTTGGATTTCCGGGGACCTCCGACGATGTGTTCTTGTTGGATCCCGCATTTCCGTTCGTAGATTTCGACCCCTGGCGGGCCCTGGGGCCACCAACACCGAATCGGGAGATCGAGGATCTGCCCCCCAGGGAAGGTGTCTACGGTGAGGACTTTTGGTTCAGCGTGTCGCGACGTCGGATGTGCCCCACCACGCGTCGGCGCGACACGCTGGCCACTTCCGATCCCCAAGCGTCGGCGTCCTCCCGTCTCGCGGAGCAGAACGACGCGCTGTCCGCTTCCATGGTATAGCCTGTCGCCAGGGCCGCCGCCACCACATGCCGAGCAAAAGTTCTTGACCGTAGACATGTGGAGGACGATCACTGGAGAGGAAACACATTGCCAAATAATTTCCAGATGTCTAGAACATGTGTTCAAACTGTGTGAGACATGTAAGAACATGCTTGAACCATGTTTAGAACATTTTCCTACATGTTAGAAACATGTTTAATTCGATGATAGGACTGTTAGGGTGTCCATTGTCGTGGCATCCACAACCGTAGACCTCCAGAGGTCCACGCTGTGAAAAAAAACATCACTCCAGAGAAAAACCCAATCAGTGGATGGTTGGATATGGGATCGATGAAGAGATCGATAAGGAGATCGACGGGGAACCTGGGGACCCAGGAACCCGGAACCCACCGAAATCGGTCCGGAACCAATGACCAGGAACCCGGGAACCCAGAACCGGGAACCCGGGAACCCAGCCGGCCACCAACATCGGCGGGACCCTCTCGCCAAATCTTCCAATTTCCGCTAGGGCCCCCTCAGCGCAAGCACTGATTGGGGAGCGTCGCCGACTCCTCCTCCTCCTCCTCCTCCTCCTCCTCCTCCTCCTCCTCATGCTCCAGCCGTGGCGTCAGGACCTCGAGGCGGAGGTCTGGCCGTGACGACACGATCCACCTCCCCGGGCGCGCGGCCAAGGGCAGTCGTCCCCGACTGCCCTTGGCCGCGGTGCCGCCCTCCTCTGCCGCCGGATGTCTCCCCTCGTTCGGCCCCTGTCTCTCCGGCTGCCCCGTGTCTCGGGCCCCGACGCTGCCTTGCTTTGTCGCAGGCCCTCTTCGCTCGCCCTCCCTCACGCCCCCCCCCCCCCCCACACCTTCTCTCGTTGTGCCTGCCATGTTCGACTTCCGCGGGCCCCCACCGCGCCCCGCGGACCGTCACAGAAGACGACCCGGGGTGAGCAAGAACTGGTCCTGGTGATCGTTTTGTCGATTTTCTGGTTCTGCCGATCGGCGCGGGCCCCCAACCCCCTTCCGCCCCCCATGGAGTAGATCTTGGCTGTCTTTTGGCGCCTGTTTCGAGCAGGTGGAGCCTCCTCTCATAGGACGCACTGCTGTAAACAGCCGCGCTAAGCCGAGGTCCAGAGCCAGACCCCCCCCCTTCCCACCCGCCTTCCGCCCAATGTCGAAACGCCGAATGAGAAAACGTCAACCTGGGGAAGGGGTCTAGACCAGGGCTCGAGCCAAACGGTGTTTCGGCGATTTCGTGGACCGTCATCGTTTGGATTCCGTTTTGCGGCAAAGGCGGAACGAAGACAGAGGAAAACGAAAAGAAAACGAGCACAGATAATACCGTTTAGCTCGCGCCGTGGTCTAAATTTCCATGGGTCTTCCTTGCGAATAAAACGCGACGTTGGAGATTGGGGTCTGCCGCAGACTCTTCGTTCGGCTCCTGTCGCGTAGCGGCTGCTGCGAATGCGCTGCGGCTTCATTTCGCGGATCTCAAGACTTCCGGCTGGGAGCTTTTATTTTTGGCTTCACCTTGTCCCCAAGTACCCCGCCTCTTCCCGCCAAGATGCGAGCACGTTTTTCGCGGCGGGTTGCGAATGCGGTTTTGGACTCAGGTGGCCAGTATCAGTCGACACCGTTCGAGTCTTTGGAGAAAGCGTCCGCGGACTTCTGCAAGATCTTCAAGAGCAAGTCTGGCAACGATTGGTCCGCCAGGGCCAACTTCGAGAAGAAGCCGCTGAAGTACCAGCTCCACGACCTGAAGTACCCCACGGTGGGCGTCCAGGACTCCGAGGCGGGGATTTATCCATATTCGCCAGACGGTGGATATGGATATACTCGACCCCCCCTGGGGCCGAAAGACATTAGAGTGAGGGGGCCGAACGGTCATTCATTGTCCCTTGGCGCGTGGCTGAAGTGAGAATCCGCAGTGAGGGTTCTGATTGTTGCGTTCTTGCTGTTGTTGTTGTTGTTGAATATTATTACTTCTAAAGAATAATTATTGTTGGGCCCCCTGGTGCACGCCCCCCCCGCCGCGCCTAGGCCGCAGCCACGTTTTCATCATTTTCGTGAGGAAGCCTCAGGTAAACGATGTCATCCAGATCCGGTTGTTTTGTTCCCCCCCGCTTTCCCTTGCAAAAAACACTATAAAATGAAATTTCTTGTTCTAATATAATCAAATTTCAAGAAATCCCTTGCAAAAAATAAGGTAAAGTGGACATTCGCGCGCGCAAGACGAAATCCTTCCAAAACCTTAGTGTTCGCAGCGATTTTAACATAAAAACATCAAAAAACCAATGGTTTTTCAACAAAAAACTGTCAAAATCTCATCCCGCGCGCTCTTGCGGATTCGTAGGAAACCCAACACTTTTTTAAACATTTCTGTCAACGGGCTTTTGCGAGCAACTTTTTCGAACTTCTGCGACAACGGTTGCGCACCTGCCAGGGCCATCATCCCTGTCAAATAATACCATGCGGGACACATTCGTTTTTTCTTCGCGCGCGCACGCCGTCGTCGTCGGCCGCGGGCCCTGAATAGTAGCCACGGTCGTCCGCATGCCACGAAGTGAAGTGTCCGAACGTCATAGGGCGGGAAGCTGGGTGTGGGTGGTGGCGAAGAGTCGTTGGGAAATTTGGTAGAGCTTGAACCGGCCCCCACAAGGGGCGGGCGTTGCCTCGTGGGGGTGGGTTGTGGGGTTACGTGATTGCCGCTCTATGAAAACCCTGGCACTGGTGAGAACGGAGTGTCCCCACGTGCTAGTAATTGTTGTTGTTGTTGTTGTTGTTGTACTCTCAATTCTGAAGAATAGTTATTGTTGATCCCCCCCGTCCGGTGCACATTGCTTTTTTTTCGATTGAAGTGCCCTTCCCGGGGCTCGCGCCCTGTTTTTTATCAGGGAAAGTCTTGAGGGTCAAACTGTGCCGTTGGCCTCCGGTTTACAATAGCAGCGGCTCCCGCCTGAGACTTCCTCACAATTTAGCCAGGACTCCCGCTCCCGCCCGAGACTTCCTCGCAGTTTATCCAGGAATCGCGCTCTCGCTTGGGACTTCCTTACAATTTATTCAGGAATCGCTCTCTCGGCGCTCTGGAGTCGCTCTCTCGCATGAGGCCTGCTTGCAATTTATTATAGAATAGCGTTTTTCTTGCTATTTACTCAAGCGCCGCGCTCCCGACACCCAGGCACCCAGGAGTCGCGCTCACGCTTAGGATTCCTCCACAGATTACTTAGGAATCGGGATCTCGCTGCCCTTCGTGGCCCCGTTGCGGCCCTTCGTGGCCCCCTCGTTTTGTTTTTGTGGCCCCGTTGCAGCCCTTCGTGGCCCCCTCGCTGCCCTTCGTGACCCCGTTGCAGCCTCTCGTGGCCTCCTCGGTGCCCTTCGTGGCCCCGTTGCAGCCCTTCGTGGCCCACTCGCTTTGTTTCGTGGCCCCGTTGCAGCCCTTCGTGGCCCCCTCGCTGCCCTTCGTGGCCCCATATATGTATGCCCTTCGTGGCCCCGTTGCAGCCCTTCGTGGCCCCCTCGCTTTGTTTCGTGGCCCCGTTGCAGCCCTTCGTGGCCCCCTCGCTGCCCTTCGTGGCCCCATATATGTATGCCCTTCGTGGCCCCCGCTCGTTCGCGCCCGTGGTTGCCCCATATGCATGCCCTTCGTGGCCCCGCTGTCGCCCTTCGTGGCCCCCTCGCTGCCCTTCGTGGCCCCGTTGCTGCCCTCAGTGGCCCCGTCCTTGCCCTCCGCGGCCCAATATACGTATGCACTTCGTGGCCCCCGCTCGTTCGCGCTGGTTTTGGCCCAATGTGCATGCCCTTCGTGGCCCCGCCGTCGCCGTGTGTGGCCCCCTCACTGTCCTGCGTGGCCCAGGTGCTACCTTCAGTGGCCCCATCGTTGCCTTCTGTGGCCCCGCATTATCTGCCTTTCGTGGCCCCCGCTCGTTCGCGCTCTTCGTGGCCCCATACGCATTCTCTTCGTGTCCCCGCTGTCGCCCTTCGTGGCCTACTTCGTGTCCTTCGTGGCTCTGCTGTCGTTCTCTCTCGCTCTCGCCTTCGCTCGTCGTCGCCGTCGCCGTCGTTGCCGTCGTCGTCGACGTCGTCGTCGTCGTCGTGGTC